TTCCTTCCTTCCTTCCTTCCTTCCTTCCTTCCTTCCTTCCTTCCTTCCTTCCCTCCTTCCTTCCTTTCTTTTCTTTCGAGACAGTATCTTACTATATAGCTCTGGTGGTCATGGAACTCACTGTGTAGACCAAGCTAGCCTCGAAATCATAGAGATCCACCTGCCTCTGTCTCCTAAGTGCTGAGATTTAAGGCGTGCACCATTGCCACACCCAGCCCCATTTTGGTTTTTGAGACAGAGTCTTTCACTAGGACCTGGGACTCACTGGGTGGGCAAAGCTGGGTGGCCAGTGAGCCTTAGTTGTCTACCTCCTCTACTTCCCCAGTGCTGGGACTATCACCTTGTGTCACCACACCTGGTCTATTTTTATGTGGGTGTTGGGAATTGAACTCAGGCCCTGATGCTTGTGTGAAAAATACTTTATGACTAAGCTACCATCAGATTAAAAAAAAAACCTTTTTAAAGATTCCTTTTAAAAATTATTTTATTTTATGTGTACGATTGCTTTGTGTGGATATATGTATGTGCAGCTTGTGCAGGCCTGGTGCCCACAGAAGACGGAAGAGGGTGTTGGGCCCCCTGGAACTGGGGTTACACACGGTTGCGAGTCGTCATTTGGGTGCTGGGAATTGTCCTCTGCAAGAGCAGCCAGTGCCCTTCACTGCTCAGTCACCTTTCCAGTCTCCAAATAAACAAACCTTTCAAAATATGTGCATGAACTACATTCTGAAAAGATTAAAAATTTATTTTTTGTGTGTGTGAGCATGTGTGCAGGTGTCTACCTTTTCTTTTCTTTCTTTTTTCTTTTTCTTTTTTTTTTTTTTTGAGACAGGATCTCATTTACCTGGAACTCACAAGTAGAATAGGCTGGCTGGCCTGGGGGCCCCAGGGATCTGCCTGACTCCACCTCAGCAGCCCAGGGAATACAAGCTTGTGCCACCATCCATGGGTTCTGAAAACGAGGGGCCTGGGGATAGAACTTAGCTCTTGGTGTCTAACTGTCTCTCCAGCTCAATGTATTTTTAAAACACTGCTCAACTGCTCTGAAGAACCAGGGAGGGAAGAAAGAGGAGACTGTGCTGGGCAGTTTTCTGTCAACTGGACACAAGCTAGAGTCACTAGAGAGCGGGAGCCTCAGTTGAGAAGACGACTCCGTAAGACTGGGCTGCAGGCAAGCCTGTGGGGCATTTTCTTAACCAGTGATTGATGGGGAGGGCCCAGCCCATGGTGAGTGGTGTCATTCCAGGGCTGGTGGTCCTGGATTTTATAAGAAAGCAGGCTGAGCAAGCTATGAGTGCAAGCTAGTAAGCAGCACCCCTCCATAGGTTCTGTATCAGCTCCTGCCTCCAGGTTCCTGCCCTGCTTGAGTTCCTGTCCTGACTTCCTTGGTGATGGACAAATAAACCCTTTCCTTCCCAGGTTTCTTTGGTCATGGTGACGACCCTGACTAGGACAGAGAGCAAATGTGAGGGAGTGTACCCGATTCTTCCTGGGTTGCTTTTTCTGTTTTGTACTATGCCTCTGAGTGCTTGGCCTTTCTTTTCAGAAAGTCCTTTTCGGTCTCTCTGCTGTCTGCATTGGATTTTGAATCTGTTTTTTAGCACGCTTGGACAGAACCCTGTATAATGATCTTTTACAAATTTTTGCCCTGATTCCTTATCAAATGATCATAGCACAGAGTTACTTTTTAGCATATCCATATATGCTTGCAGTAGAAACTGCTTTAATTTGCAATGCTATTGTGAATCAAAGTGTGCTTTTAAATGAGGAAAATGTTTTTATAATGTGAATAAAATTTGGGGGGGTTGCTTTAAGCTTGGACTCTTGAAGGTTTTTTAATCAGAACAAGCTTGAGGACATTTGATGTCTCTCCATTATTCACAGTACATTTATAGAACGGATTTACGAAATTCTTCCTCCTGGGATTCGAAATGGATGTTCACTCCTTACCATTTTTGTTGCCAAGGGAGCGCACATCTGCCCTGGAAAACCTTCCTGTGGAGTAATGTCAGCAAAGACAGATGAATGAGAGTACACACGGTTCCGGAATAATAGTGCAATTTCGCTAAAGGATGACGTCATCTCTTTGCTGTTGTATCTGCCATCCTAAGGAGCCCAAAATCCACCCAGGCTGGAAAATGAATTACAAGGACATCACGCTGGCAAGGTGAGATGAAATTAAAAAACAGACGGTAAAATTTAATTTAAAAGGAAGAGAGCTTTGAAAAGATCCAGTTTGCAATGTATTTTTCTCAAGTAAGGTCTTGATCTAATTACCATATCATAATTTGCCATCATTTTGGATTAGCAGGAAAGATGCAAAGCTTATTCTTAATAACTGGATGGCTATAGGTATGCAAGTATACCACCAGACTATAATTAGGCACGTTGTAATTGATTTCAGTCTTTAAAGGGCACATTTAAATGCCAGCAAATAAAGATGCCTTTATCGGTTAAACCCACGCACTACGATGCCACGTGCCTCCGGGAGACACTGGGGGAAAGTGTGCTGGGTTTTCTTTGGATACTAAGAAAAGAACGGTTTGTGACTGTGTACTGGTTTTTGGAGGTCAGCATTTTTTTTTTTTTGAATTTTTATTTAAGAAAAATTTTTATTCATTTTACCTACCAACCACAGATCCCCCTCTCTTCCCTTCTCCCACTACTCCCAACCTTCCTCCCCGCCCCATTCCCTCCTCTGAAAGGGTAAGGGGCTCCATGGGGAGTCAACAAAGCCTGGTACATTCAGTTGAGGCAGGACCAAGCTCCTCCCTCTGCATCAAGGCTGAGCAAGGCATCCACCATAGGGAATGGGCTCCAAAAAACCAGTTCATGCACCAGGGATAGATTCTGATTCCACTGCCAGGGCCCCTCAAACAGAACAAGCTACATAACTGTCTCTTGTATGAAGAGGGCCTAGTCCAGTCCCATGCAGGTTCCACAGCTATCGATCTAAAGTTCATGAGTTCCCACGAGCTTAGTTCAATTGTCTCTGTTGTTTTCCCCATCATGATCTTGACCCTCCTTGCTCATAGAATCCCTCCTCCCTCTCTTTGACTGGACTCCTAGAGCTTAGCCTGGTGCTTGGCTGTGGATCTCTGCATCTGCTTCCATCAGTTACTGGATGAAGGCTCTATGATGACAGTTAGGGTAGTCACCAATCTGATTACC